GGGGGGGGCAAAAATCTAGCAACGGCCGAGGACCAATCATGGAATCAGTATGAGCAATCGACTTTCTAGATCTCCATACAAGAGCTGGTGGTGTCCGGAAAAGGCGGGTGTGCTAATGCGTGGGATGTCTGAGTCGCGCGTTGACAGCACGGACGGTGCAGCAGGCGAAATCGATGGGGGCAAAGGCGGAGGGTCGGCGTGGGAATGCACTGTGAGACTTTGGACGAAATGGGACGTCCGATGTTTTATGAGATTCTGCTTTAATTCTTTGCTTGAAAGCGCAACCTCGATGGGTCCTGAGATCATACCACATCATCATCCCGTAATGTTCCATCACTCAAATCCTGGACCCGTCTACCCCCAGCTTGTTTAACCCCAGATCCTTCGTTTTCCTGTAACCACTTCACATACCCCGGAACATTCAAACAAGCCTCCACCATCTCCACGTCCTCACTCCTCGGATAAATCGACCACTGCCCCGTCGCCTCCAACACCATAATCTCAACATCCTTCACCGCCCTAACTCCCTTCGACCTCATCGCAATCCAGATATCCGCCTCAGCAATCCGATTTACCTTCATGACTCCCTGCAACATCCGTCCCCGACAAACGACCATAACAGGCGGACTCCGAATCCAATTCAGCTTCCGTGGAAACAGAACCAAAAGCCAATCCAACACCGCCTGAAACAGTAAAATCACCAATAAACTGAACAAGCCCCGGCACAGATTCAAAGCAGGTTGGGTAGATGTTATAGTTCGGGAAAGTGTTGAGCCAAGAGAGACCGAGGCGATCCAGTCGAAGGTTGTGGAGGGGGAGAGGGTGCGGTTTGAGGCTATGCGGATCCAGAGCCAGAGGGCGAGGATTGCGGCTGTGCCGGTCGTGAAGGGGTGGAGAATGTGCGCTTTGGACCAGAAGTCTGTGTAGTCGATGACGGCGCTGGTGGAGGACATGCTGAGCGACTCGACAGGGTTGATCCGTCGGCAGAGAGGTGTCCAGGACCCCTATTTATTCGACCGGGATTAGAGTTTCTGCCAAAATCCTACGTTATGGCTGATCCGTTTCACATGGTCCACGGATCGATATCGACCATGACGTCGGAGCGGATCAAACGGGTATCAAGGGACGGGCCAGACAGAGGCAGTAAAAATGATGCGATGTCAAGCAAAGAAATCTATACTCGTTGTTATTTTGTCCGATGTCATCGCTCTGGTTGCGTCACCTGCCTCTTCCCCATACCGGTCCGTGCCGCGTGCCTGGCGGACCCTAGGACTGAGATCTCGGTCTCGCGAGCGCACCTTTCATTTAACGTACGAATCCCGCCAGCTGTCCATCCTCAATTGATGAGAACGAGATTCTTCCATAATCTCGTCCTCGTTAGCAACGCTCTATCAAGGCAGCAAGCATTCACATCATTCACCAGACCCTCAATCCCCTTCGCATTCCCCAAACCACCCGCACTCGCACCACTTAAACGATTCTTCGCATCGACCCCAGCTACCATGTGTTCTGGATCTCGTCTTATTGCTATTCCCGTTGATCGCGAGGTTTTACCGGATAATATCGTGCCTACGCATTATGACCTTCACTTGATCCCTGATCTCGAGAAGTTTACTTTTGATGGTGAGGTTGCTGTGGATTTGGATGTTCAGGAGGAGACTACCTCCATTACTCTCAACGTTCTTGATGTCAAGATTCACAAGGCTACGCTCTCCGCCGATGGCTCTACCCAGGAATCCAAGGAGGTCGAGTACGACGATGACCAGCAGACCGCTACGATGACTTTCGGGTCCGCTGTCCCTGCCGGTGGAAAGGCTACGCTGAAAATGTCCTTCACCGGTGAACTTAACAACCTCATGGCCGGTTTCTACCGTTCTGCGTACAAGGATGCCGAGGGTAAGACCAACTACATCGCTTCCACACAGATGGAGCCTACCGACTGTCGCCGTGCGTTCCCCGTCTGGGACGAGCCCTCGCTCAAGGCTACCTTCGCTGTTCACATCACCGCCGAGGAGCACTTTACCGTTCTTTCCAACATGCAGGAGGTCGCGTCCAAGAAGGTCGATGGTGGTAAGAAGACTGTTTCGTTCGCTACTACGCCTAAGATGTCGACGTACCTTCTTGCCTGGGTCGTTGGTGATCTTCGTTACATTGAGACTCATACTGCTGGTGAGCATGGACCTAAGATCCCGGTCCGTGTTTACACCGTGCCCGGGTTGGAGGAGCAAGGCCGCTTTTCGCTTGATTTGGGTGCTAAGACTCTGGATTTCTTCAACAAGGAGTTCGGGACGCCGTACCCCCTCCCGAAGATGGATTTCGTCGCTATCCCTGATTTCTCTGCCGGAGCTATGGAGAATTGGGGCCTCGTCACTTTCCGTACTGTCGATCTCTTGTTCGAGGAGGAGAAGTCCGGTGCAGCAACCAAGCAGCGTGTCGCCGAAGTCGTCATGCACGAGCTCGCTCACCAATGGTTCGGTAACCTCGTCACGATGGACTGGTGGAACGGTCTCTGGCTCAATGAGGGTTTCGCGACCTGGATGTCATGGTATTCTGCTCACCACTTCTTCCCCGAGTGGAAGGTGTGGGAGACGTATGTCACTGATAACCTCCAGTCCGCGCTCCGTTTGGATGGATTGAGGTCTTCGCACCCGATTGAGGTTCCGGTTAAGCGGGCAGATGAGATTAACCAGATCTTCGATGCGATTTCGTATTCGAAGGGATCTTGTGTCATTAGGATGGTTGCGCAGTATATGGGTGAGGATGTTTTCATGCAGGGTATTCGTAACTACCTCGCTAAGCACGCGTATGGAAACACCCGTACGGAGGATTTGTGGGAGGCGTTGGCTGCGGCGAGTGGGAAGGATATCGTTGCTGTTGCGGATGTGTGGACGAAGGTGCAGGGATACCCTGTTGTTAACGTTACTGAGCAGGACGGAAAGGCTGCGATTAAGGTTGAGCAGCACAGGTTTTTGACGACGGGTGACGTTAAGCCCGAGGAGGATGAGACGTTATACTGGATCCCGCTTGGGTTGAAGACGTTGGATAAGGAGGGTAAGCCGCAGGTTAGCGACAAGCCGTTGTTGGGTCGTGAGCAGACTCTTGAGATTGGAGAGGAGACGAAGGGCTTCTTCAAGGTCAACACTGATCATGCTGGTATTTACCGTACGGCGTACACCCCGGCTCACTTGGCTAAGCTCGCCAAGTCTGTGCATGAGCACCCCTCTGCGCTTTCCGTCGAGGACAGAGCTGGTTTGGTTGCTGATGCGGGTGCTTTGGCTGCATCTGGCTACGGGAAGACGAGTGGGTTGTTGACCTTGCTTGAGCAGTGGTCTTCGGAGGAGAAATTCGTTGTTTGGGATGAGATGCTCGGTCGTCTTGGCTCTGTCCGTGGCGCGTGGATGTTCGAGGATGAGAAGACGAAGGCCGGGCTCAAGGCTTTCACGAAGCAGTTGTCTGAGCCCAAGGCGAAGGAGTTGGGATGGATCTTCACCGCTGGCGAGGATCATGTTCAGCAGCAGTTCAAGACGCTTGTGTTTAACTCTGCTGGTCTTGCTGGGTCGAAGGAGGTTGTCGAGGCTGCGAAGGAGATGTTTAAGAAATATGCGGAGGGTGACAAGAAGGCTATTCACCCTAACTTGAGGGGTGGCGTTTTCGCTATTGTGCTCGAGGAGGGTGGTGAGAAGGAGTGGGAGCACATTAGGTCCGTGTACTTGGACCAGAGCAATGCGGTTGATGAGCGTAACACTGCTTTGCGTGCGTTGGGACGCACGAAGGTTCCTGAGTTGATCCAGAAGACGGTTCACATGTCGCTTTCGCCTGAGGTCAAGGAGCAGGACATTTACCTCCCCCTCACCGGTGTCCGCAACTCCGCCGAGGGCGTCCGCGCTCTCTGGGCTTTCGCCAAGGAGAACTGGGAAGCAATCACTGCCCGCATTCCGGCCGGTCTTTCTCTCTTGTCTGGTGTTGTCCAGATTGTTACGAGCAGCTTCACGAGACAGGAGGATATTGATGACATTAACAGGTTCTTCAAGGAGAAGAGTACGAAGGGATTTGAGATGGCGCTCGCGCAGAGTTTGGATACGATCAAGGCGAAGGATAGTTGGCTTAGCAGGGATACTAAGGATATTGAGGACTTCTTGAAGGGGAAGAAGTTGCTTTAAGTGAGGCTATAGGGTCTGGAGGCTGGCCCTAGGGTAAAGGCGGCAGGCCGCTTCCTGGAGCATATGGAGTAGATATGATGAAACTAGCAAGCATGGACATCTGTTCCCATCATCCCTGATTATCGAAAATGTTTTGACGGGTAAATACATGGTAGCTGCAACCTTGATCGTTCGATTCAGCCAATCAAGCATCGCGCATATCGTGTGACCTCATACGTCTCAGCTGTCAATTGCTATGCATATTCGATCGAACAAGAATCGAAATTGCGATGCAGCTGTCCAATCATGCTAAAGCTAAACAGGGCCGCTTCGTTCACATGTTCGCAACAATTAGGTCATCGGTGTGCACATGCCCCACGCCATACGATCCGTTGAGCTTAAAATTTCTCTATAAAGGCTCAGCACATCTGCTCCATCTCTCATCATCTTCTGTAAATCAAAAATGTTCCATTCTGTTATTCGTCAATCTCCTCGTGCTACGCTTTTCGCTGCTCAACGTACCTTTGCATCGTCTCAATTCGCTATGGCTCAGTCTGCTTTGTATAAGGCCATTCAACACGATCACGTCGAATTGGCGGATTACTATAACGTATTTGCTTTTCTTCATCAGCATTGAGCGTGAACTGACACTGTGGTTAGAACTACAAAAAGATGACGAGTGCCTTCCAACCGGACGAAGCGCAGAAGTGGGCTAATCAATTCATTTGGGTATGAGCTTTGAGACGCTCTTCGATAGTGGATTTGCGGCTAATATTCCTTGCTCGTACAGGAACTTGCACGTCACGCTATAGGCGAGGAACTCGTAGTCT